TGGGAGAGGGGAGTATACTGGTAAAGGAACATGAGCCCTTCTGGATGGGTCAGATCACACCTAATCTGAAAATTGAAAGCTTAATTTTTTTTTCTTGAATGGCTGCGGTGCTGTTTTACTAACACTATCTTATTTTATTGGCAGAAAAACACCTGGCCCAAGCACTTGAAACCATGTGGTAGATCTCACTACAGCAGGCGTCACCATGACTACAAAACAAACGCGCACGCACAACCTACGCACTTGAAGTTGAGGATATCAGTTTTACAAACATGACTGGTACGAATATATTAGCTTGTGTTGGCTGTGGCATGCTTCATTATGCGCCAAAGAAAAATAATCCAGGAAATGTAGGAAGAACAGGCGGATTTGATAAGGCACAAGCTAAAACACTGCACAGAATTTAAAATACTACTAGTAAGACTATTAATAATAATGTAAGCCTTCCAAATTTGCAAGGCAGACAATATGTTTACTGTGTCAAGTATAAATAATCAATCAAAACTGGTTGGTTTTACTATGCAGGGTTATTTGTTCATAGCGTTGGCTATTAATAGGTTATTAGAGTTTTTAACCCTGCAAAGTGATTGCCATAGCAATATCCATAAGCCTTAATGCTAATTGCTAACTATGCAGTTTAATCTAACAGAGCTGTATATGAGCACAGAGGAAGAGATAGAAATAAACTGAGAAGTGAGTTTCCATTTTCACACATGCATGAAAAATGATTTTAAAGGCTTGGTTAAGTTAGCAGTTGGCATTAAGTTAGCAACTTATTTCACATTTACAGTTAGGTCGTTTAGTGTTTCGGTGACCTGACAATGTTTTTTAAACCTCCAAAGTGGATTTTAAATCAAACAACCAAGATAAGATCGAGGTGCAGACTTTCAGCTTTAATTCAAAGGATTAAAATATTTCATGAATTGTTTAGGAATTACAGAAATTTCTTTTTAAACATAGGATTTCATATGATTTGACGTGTGTTGGATCGTGAATGGTTCATTTCTTCTCTGTACTTTTCTCATTTTAATCTTGGTCCATCCTCTTCTTGAGAATCGCAGCATCTCTAATCCTTACTCTCCTAACACAATTTTTCACAACTTTATGTTGTACATTTTTCTGAAAGTGTTTTTATAATAATCAGAAAATAGAATAGCCTTTTATTGTCATTGTACATGTACAACAAAATTGTGGGTGGGCTACACCAACTGTTCATGGAAAAATCAAAAATTGGTACATTAAAAAGACCAGACGCTCATCTGAAGCAGTAGATGCTTAGACCTAGAACAAGGGCTACTACAATGGGTTGGTTTCAGAACGTAAGTACTGGCACCAACTTTCACAGGTGTGGGGATTTTCGTACTTTCGTGATTCATAAAAGGTACAAACCGTGACAGAGAGGGAAAGTTGTGGTGCACTCACACACAATATCTATAATTATATCACAAGAAAAGTCAGACACTAAGTTGTAAAAGTAGGAATTATCTTACATTTGAATTCATAATAGTACTGCAAAAGGCAGCGATATTAATCCAGTGCACAGGTATATGATGAATAACAGGAGCAAAGGTCAGTCTCCATTAGACTCTTACTTAGGTTTTCTAGTTATTTCACTATGCTACCATCAGCTGAATAATTAGCTCAAGTTTGGTTGTTACTGCAGTAATTTATTGCCCGTGAAGTGTTAAACCCTAAATACTCTAAACAGTCCAAACTGTATAACTTCAAATGGTAAATGTTGTAAAAGTCTGTCAGTACAATTCAGCTGAGGGGTTCAGTGAACGCTTTGGAAGAACCTGAAGCTCAATTATGCGAACAATGTTGTTATGTTATTCTTATCTCCTATTCCCATCCCCCTTTTTATGTTATTAATATTTTAAGCTGCTTCAGTGTGTGTTAATGGGAACAGGGGTTTGGGATTCCTGTTTACTTGTCTGCTCAGCAGACTAAACAAATCTGTATCTCAAGCGATTTCTGAATGAACGAGACGCCGTGATAGCAAGTATAATTTCAGATGGACTTTATTGAAATGTCTGAACATAACAGCAAAGCAGGCAGACATAACTGGACAGAAAGAAAACAAAAAAGATGATGAAATATAAAAATAATTTCATTTATTCTGAGAATTTTATGACTTTGAAATAACGTCTTGAATCTTTTTGTTTTTTTTGAAAAAGTTCTCCAATTTTAAACTTTTGTAAACATCTGCATGTCGACACACAAACACATAAATAACTCATGATGAAATAAATAAAAAATGATTTTGTTTTCTTTTGATCCAGTTTTTTTAGCAGCCTGTGGGACAGCTGTATACCCAGGAAGTAAAACTATTGGTAGAGACGGCTGAAGGGTCTTATTGTTGTTAGTGCTCTATCACTAAGAAGCAAAGAGGTAAAATTTGACCAGTTGTATGCTAGTGTTATAATGCTGTGACAGTGACAGGTGAGAGAATCAGCTGCTTGCTCCTTGCATTCAGAGGTTCTTGGTCTCTGTGCTGGAGGACACCACCTTGCCGTCCACCAGCGTCTTTGTGACGGTCATCACTTTTTTGGTCTTGGTCACTGTTGTTTTCTGCTCTTCCAGAGCATCCTGGAGCCTAAGTAAAAACATTAATACTCAGTTAACTTCCAGGTAGTTTCTACTTTTAGACTTCTAAATGATAGGAAAACTATCCTACGCACTTGAAGTCTCCACCGTCCAGCAGCCGTCGGTATGTTGCAATCTCAGCCTCCAGCTTCATCTTTGTGTTGAGCAGGGCCTCGTAATCCTGTGTCTGCAACTGGATTTTGCTTCGCAGCTGTGTGAGCTCTGCCTCCAGGCCCAGGATGATGGTGTTTAAAGACTCTATCTCCATGTTGTAACGGAGCTCCGTGTCCCTTAGCGTGCCCTCCAGAGAGGCTTTCTGTAAGCGACAAGAAGGGGTTACATTTTTACAGTAGACTCAGATTAGTGATGACAGCTCCATAGAGACAAATCACCGGAGTGCAACGCTTGTGTCAACAGAATACACCCCAGAGACTTGAAGTGAGAGTGCTGAGTTGGGCAATGTGGAGAGTTCAGATAAGCGTGTTTAGAGGTAAATGAGGGGCAGACTGCTCACCAGACTCTTCTGTGATTCCAGTTCAATATCCAGCGTTTGTATCTGTCTGCGCAGTTCGTGCACCTCTGTCTGGGCACCCTTCAGGGCCTCTGTGTTCTGGGTCACCTGTGTCTGCACTTCTGTTATCTGATTGAGGTTAAGAGACAAGTTAGTCAAGAGTTTATTTATTTAAAATTTTTTAACTTGATTTGTTTTTGCTAATTCAATTCAATTCAATTCAATTTTATTTATATAGCGCCAAATCACAACAAATGTCGCCTCATGATTACTTGAATTAATGGTGGTTTACCTGAGATTCATGCCATGCTTTCAGTTCTTCCTGGTTCTTCTTTGCCATCTTCTCATACTTGGCCCTGATTTCTGCCATGATCTGAGCCAGATCCTGGCCTTTAGGAGCGTCGACATCCACGTGGACTCCAGACTGGGCGATCTGGTTACGAAGCTCGATAACGTCCTAAAGAAAAAAAGAAAGTCAATAGAAAGTCACTCTTATTGTTTACCTCACCTAACTACTTTCAGGTCTATAGAATACTTCTTAATTCTTTTTCATTCTACTGCTTGAACTGAGTCATGACCCAGCGATGACCCTTAGCCTCTATCCAACCATAATCACACGCTTCGGTCAGGCAAATATACAGGTCTGTGCCTGAGTCCCTTAACACTTAATTTAATATTTCCCTCAGTAAACAAATGGTTGTGTTTTGGCTTATGCACTCAAATCATAGTCATTTGAAATCTTTGGAGCTTTCTCTGTTGCCAATTGTGGCTGGGAACCATTTTTACGATGAGGCTTCCCACAGAACTCACATACAGATATTTCAGATTTCTTAAGCAACCTCTGCCTTCCCAGCAAAGTTTTCTAAAGACTGTTTTCCACAACATCCCACTCAAGGAGGTGTAGGATGTAGTCGTGGCTTTCACTGCATGTGGAACTTAAGCACATATGGTAGCAATGAGAAGGATTAATGAGATGAATAGATCTGCAAATAATATGTATATAATTATGCATCTTTCTGAGTTCGACTATGTTGAAAGCAGCACAAATATAGTCTATAGACCTGAATTAAATGTTTTATATTTGAAATTTTGTTTTTGAAATAAGTTAAAGTAATCAAACTCACATTTTCATGGTTTTTTTTGAGGTGGATGAGCTCCTCCTTCAGTGCTTCGATCTCACTCTCCAGGTTCATGCGGGT